GAGAGAGAGAGAGAGAGAGAGAGAGAGAGAGAGAGAGAGAGAATTAGTGAAGAATTGCTATCTGCCACATGCTACAACTAGCAGTGCTTTAGTCCCGACCGACGTGTGTGTGTGTGTGTGTGTGTGTGTGTGTGTGCGCGCGCGCGCGCGGTGTCTGGGAAGCGCACTCCCTTTGCCCAAAGGGAGGCGGTCCAGTCTCACTAGAACCAGCAGTGCTCTTGCATTGGACAGCTCAGAGTGAAAGCAGTCTTGGGCATAAATCATTGGAATTGCTGGGAAATTACACGAGGGAGTTCAGCTGCAATGTTTGGTTTCTAAGTTGTGTTTTGAGTTCTTGAAGGTAAGTTCTTGGCAGCTTCTTCCTTAATGTGCCATCAGTTGTTTGTGAGTGATCATCTAGATGAATGAATTAAAGTTTGGACGTAAGTGATGGATTGAATAACTGTGTGGTCAGTCAGTTTTGCCATCAATGTGGCCCACAGTTTCAAGCAAGTACATATAGATATCTCAATAAAAATCAGTGTTTCACTAAAAATGGCAACTGGAAAAATACTGGCTGTACTTAACTCCATCCAGCCAAACACTAATGACAAGCATGAGAATCTTATAATCGTAACTTGTAGGTATCCCATTTAGGTTCTTTATCCCTTAACTACAAAGAGCTCTTCGGTTGAGAAAAATCAGAACCCCAGCACACAAGGGTCTTACGACACACTGCGGAGGTAGGTAATTGGCTCACAGGTTTTGTGTATCTCTGCCTTTTGGGAGAGCAGAGGCATGGGCTGCTTTTCTCTGGGCTACCTTTGCAAAGATGCTCGTGTTGTAAACAGCCTTGGTGGAAACCTCCATAGATAGCAAAAGAGAAGCAAAGGCGAGAGACAAGAAATAAGGATGTTTCTAGAGGATCATGGAAAGACCAGATTGGCAAAGAGAGAAAGAGAGGCCACTTGTAGGGAATCCTCCTACCTGCTAAGTAGGACCAGTTCCTAGTCAATTAAAGAGGCCAGAAATGAATTCTAAAGGTGATGCATGTGCCTGAATTTGTTTAAACTAAACTATTTGGATGAAATTTATTTAACAGTATTTTGAAGAAAGATAAAGGTGTAAACATAACTCAAATTCTGACTCTATTGACTTAATACAACCTTAAATAAACTACTTGTATATGTATATGTACATCTGTCTACTTAAATATGTACTAAATGTATAAAGACCAATAAATTTTAAACCTGAGTATACACTGTAATCACTTAGAATTTCAGAGACAGACAGACAGACAGACAGACACACACACACATGAGGAGGGAGGGAAGGGAGTGAGACAGAGAGAGGGGGGAGGGGCAGACAGACACAGAGAGAAACAAAGAAATTGATTATAAGTATGTGACTATATGAGTAAGAATGTCTAGACACCATTTTAGAGAAGCTAAATTAGATCCTTAGATATGAAAGCCATATTAATGAAATTCTGTTCAGATTTCTCCAAGGCCCTTCTAAAATGCTTCTAGGGTGAGACACCACTGCTTTCAACTTATTCATTTCAATTTACTCATTTTACTGAGTATCTAAAAAAAGTATGAAAAAACGTTGTTCTACAATTACTCTGTTTACCCTTGGTCTTCCCTACAGAAACTGTGTACCATCCGGTTTCCTCCGATAGTGAAATGGACTTACCTCTGTGTCACTGCTTATAACTAGAGTCCTAAGCCCTTAACTCTTACCTGAAGTTTTCTTGTTCTAACTACTCAGTTTCAGTACTTTACTAAAAAGTGTTGGATGATAAAATGGACATGTGGAAAATAGATAAATAGTTTAGCAATGTTATCATGGCATTCCAACCTTGCTAACCTATGCATTTCACACCCCTCTGCACCCTTCTGCACCCCTCTGTGCCCATTTCTTTCCTCTTCTTAGACATCCTTTTGTGTCCTTAAAGTAATCACCAATGGGCAACATCTTTGTTGGGCATCTTTTCTTTGTTTTTTCTTAATGATTTTGCTTCCTCTGTACAAGCCTATAAATAATTTGTTTCAATGTTTTTACTTTTTTTTTTAATGCACAGGTAACTTTATTATGGTTTCACAATGTAAAATAAAATTGTTTTCCAGGAAATTGAATATAAATATAAATATAAATATAAAATTCAATGTTTTTACTTTTGACCTTTAGTAAAATTACACTGCATGTAACAGTCTGTATCTGGTTCACTTTGCTGACTTCATAGGATTTAAGCATTAAGATTTACAGCTATCATATTGTCTACTCATTTCCATAAATCCATTGTATTGGTAAACTATGATTTATTTATCTATTCAATTTGCTTGTGAATATTTAGTTGTTTCTAACTATTGGGTACTGTAAACAACAGCTTTTTAGATACATTTCTCTAAAACACTTACTTAAAGAATTGCTAGGTTATAAGTTATACATTATCAAGCCAACTATTTAATGCTAATTTGGTCTCCACTTGGCTGTACCAAATTTTACTCCTGTCACCTTTTAAAATGTTTTGGAACATGGATTCTAGTTTGTTTTGGGTGGTAATTTCCAAAATAGTGATTTAAAATAATTATACTGAGTACTTCTGTGTTTTGTGTAGGAACACGAATGTAAACTGACCCAAGAAATCTTAGAGTTGATTGACAGAGAAGTTGACCTCATGATGAGAGGAGTCAAACCTCATAATCTTGAAGGACTCAGAAAAAGAATTACGACACTCTTTTTTCACTATATCAAAACACCTCTGTTTAATCCTGAAGTTGCAAGATACCTTAAGGTACTCTCCTTACTGTATTTATTTTCAAAATCCCAAGATGTAATATTGTTAATCGAAAGATATTCAAAGTTTGCTTCTATGCTTTACTAGAAATCTAAGCAAGACCATCCAGTCAGTGAGACCTCTGGATTTATTAACGTTGATAGACTAAACTTTCCCAGTAACCTCTTCTGCATATGAATTTTCAGCCTTGAATTTTTTTCTAAGAGTTGAATTGAATTTCCGGGTGTGGTGTAGTGTTGAAGACACTGTGATCTCTCACACCCCTTTCTTTGGCTCCCACCCACAATGCTGTGTTCTGTTTGCTCCAGCCAACTCCTATTCATTTTCAAACACTAAACTCTAGCTCCTTCTCTCTCTCATGAGGCCTCAGAGAGAGTTGGCCTTTCCACTAAAATCCTTCTTTTGAATCTTGCCTGTCTTCCTTAAGCATGCAAACATAAGTATCAGTGACCAGATCCATGAAAACAGCCTGAAGAACTCCAAGTGGAGCTTGTAGCTGAGTTAAATCATGTCTTCCCACTCCAGTATCATGATGTTTCTGGAGGATATGTATACCTCATTATTTCCTTACAAAGCTTCTTAACACACTTCAGGAAATTGGGAAGTTTCACTAATGAGTCATTGTTGTAGGATTTTTTTTTTAGAATTATCAAAATGTAGACAAAAATTTAGAAAAACACAACATGCTTACTGTTCATATTCTATTTAATTAATTAGAAAACAATTTTGCTGTTCAAAAGACTGGAGGAAAAGTTTACCATTGTATTACTTCAGTTCATTTTTAATTTGTCCAAGCTAGCTCCCTTTTGTTTTTATAGATTTGTAGCACTATAGTAAGAGAATTTGATACTCTGTACCATTACATAATTCTATATCATGTAAACAGAGGCAGAGTTTTCTGTTCTGACTGTCTGGTCCCAAATAAACACACAAAAACTTATATTAATTATATGCTTGGCCAATAGCTCAAGCTTAGTACTAACTAGCACTTACACTTTACGTTAACCCATATTCCTTTTGCATGCTCTGCCAAATGGCAGTACCTTGATTAGCATGGCACATTCATTTCCTGCTCCCTCTGCGTTTGGCTGGTAACTCCCTTGACTCCACCCTTCTTCTCCCCATCATTCTAGTTTGGCTTTCTTGCCTAACTTTATCCTGTTCAGCTATTGGCCAGTCAGCCTGTTTATTAAACCAATCACAGTGACAAATCTTCACAGTGTATGAAAGGATTATTCCACAGAAATACCACTGCTTTTGAATTTTCCTTGATAAAAGTTCACTCAGGTAAGTTTTGGCAATACATAAAGTCATGTAGCTAATAGTACAGTCCAGATAAAACTTACTCCTCATAGACTTCCCTGATATCAGCTCTTAAACAAATTTTGGTAAATGCTGACCTGTGTTGTATTTTGATAGTTTTATTTATTCCAGAATGTCATATAAATGGAATAATTCTATCATGAATCACACGAAGTCTTATGACATGGACTTCATTCCACTCATTACATTTGAGATTCACCCATGCTTTGATGTATCAGTAGTTTGTTGTTACAGTTCAAAAAACTAATATATAGTTAAGAGATGAAGGAGTTTTATTCTTATCCTTTCACAGTTATAGGAAGTCGGAGTTCGTTAGCATAGGGATTTTATGAATAAAGTCACTCTACATACTCGATTATAATTCTGATATAAATTGATTGGTTTGGGGTTAAATACCAGGTGGTGGTGTTCAGCCACATGGTTAAATGTCTTTTTGCCATTAAGAGAGATTATTAAACTTTTTACCTATATGATCAGTACCAGGAAGCACTTCTTGTAATAGAGATTTATTGTAGAATATTATTTTAAGATGTGTTACTTTTGTCTATGTTGCATTTGTTTAATTCTGTGAAGCTGTGTTACTTTGCCTGTCTAAAACACCTGATGGTCTAATAAAGAGCTGAACAGTCAATAGCAAGGCAGGAGAATGGATAGGTGGGGCTGGCAGGCAGAGAGAATAAATAGAAGGAGAAATCTGGGAGGAGAGGAAGAAGTAGCTAGAGAAGGAGGAGGACTCCAGGGATCAGCCACCCAGCTACACAGCAAGCCATGGAGTAAGAAATAAAGCTATACCGGAATAGAAAAGGAAAAGTACAGAGGCAAAAGATGCATGGAATAATTTAAGAAAAGCTGGCAAGAAACATGCCAACCTAAGGTCAAGCTTTTATAATTAAGAATAAGCCTTCATGTAGGATTTATTTGGGAGCTGGGTGGTGGGCCCCCAAAAGAGTATAGAGTAAAAAAACAGTAACAACAGATATTCACAGCTACTTGGCATCCTCATCAGTGCTTGGTGTTAGTAGCTTTTCATTTAGGAAATTCTAACCAGATGTATAGTGGTATCTCATAATAACTAATAATTTTACATCTCTTCTCATATACTCATCTGTCATGCACATGCATTTGGTGAAACTCCTGCATCTACCTTTTACCACCTCCTTGTTTTGATTGGATTATGTATTTTCTGTGTCAAATTTTGAGAATTTGTTATATATTCCCTGCATGAAGTGCAAGGAACAGAGGAAAGGATACCAAACACATCAGTGGCCAGGGAGAAACAGCAACTTGTATACAAGTAGGACAAAAATAAGGATGGCAGTAGATTTCTCACTGAAACATTACAGACAAAAAGACAGTCACCCAGCCTTTGCAAAGCTCTTAGGTCAACAGCAAGGAGATCACCGTTACCCCCTGCCTCTTCCACTTGAATCGATTTATTTCCCTTCCTCATCATGCAGGAAACAACTTTCAATATAATATCCAATGAGATCACTGAGTGCAGATAGACATTCTTTGTTCCTAGTAATAGACAAGCCTCCCAAGTTCTGGGATTAAAGGTGTGCGCCACCACCGCCTGCCAGTACTTTGGTTTTCTAAATACTCTGCCATCATCTATCCAGGGGTGGGAGAGTAACACAGATTTTTAATACTTTAGCCAGGAAAATGATTCTTGCTTGGAATTTAAGTCTTATACAGAATAGTCTGTTAAAAGGAAAATAGGACTTTTTAAGTAACCAATTTTAGAATTTAATTCTAAGCAGTCCTCAGTGTTTCTGTTTAGTATGTGGCTTAGATTTTCATCATCTTTTTTTTTTCTCTATTTAGGTCCCTCAAGACCCACTGAAGTTTTACGATAAGATTTATTTTTGCCACAGTTGCCAGTTGTATTTGCCTTCTGTGGAATTTTCTGTGTCACCCACCTCGCATCGTGTGTACCGCTGCCGACACTGTGTGAACCTTGAGAATGAGACTCAAAAACGAGAGTCGTTTTTGAAGTACAAGTGTTTACTTCAGCGGCTCTACTACTCAGAAGCCAATTATGGGGATGACTCTCAGATTGCTTTCCTCATGCAGGTATGACCTGTGGAGGATGCCAATCATGAAATGTACCAGGCAGAGAGGTTGTCTTCTCGGGGCTGTCTTGATATGAAGTTCAACACATTTGAACATGGTTTTGTCTGGGAAACATTACTTAGGATTTCCTAAAGCAGACAGCTATTGCATTCCTGAGTTTCATGCACAGATGTGCTCTTGATATTTAAATTCTATGCTACACTCTTAAAATTCACTGGTAAATCAGACATCATGTCCTAGAAAAGAATGCAGATGTTTAAGAGGAATGATAGCAAGGATGGTAGAGTATATAGGGGATGTAATACATATATATATATATATATATATATATATATATATATATATATATATATATGGCGAGCTATAGGAGACTGGCACTCAGTCAGAGAATGAGATGTCTGATAGCATATTTCATGATTTCATGTGGGTGATGTTGAAAGATGACAAAGTTTGGGCTGTGGCACAAGAGAGGAAAGTCTTTTGAATGATGTTCCCCTTTAAACATTCATTCAACATGATTTAATTGTTTTCCCAATTAATATGATGATATTTAAACCACTTATTTAGAAGAAAATAACATTACTGTTCAAACTTATTTTGGCATGTAGCTCCAAGATATTAAGTACTTGACAGAGAACATCTGGGCATCCCAGTCCATCCTCAGTGCCTGGGATGATCTCAATGACCTGGTCATGGTCAGGTGGGATAAGAATGTGGAATGGTCTCCCTGGAACTGCATTCTTCTCACCAAGGATGAAGGGGTAGCTCATCTCAAGCTACAAAGTATTGAGCAGGTAAGATGCTGGACTCTGAAATTTTAATTCAGCCAATTGATTATAACAGACATTTTGAATGCCCTCTGATATACCCAATGACTGTCTGAAGAGTTTCTGTTGAATCAAAAGACCCATATGTGAGGTGGCAATAGAAAAACATGTGGATGGTGTATGCTGCAGGTGTGAAAATTCAAAGAAAGTTAAGGTTTATTGGGGTAAGGATGAGAGACCTGAATATACAAGCATCTAACATCATCTTACTCTCTTCTAACAAGTTCAAGCACATTCATTTCACAGCGAGTTTTGTGAAGGACTTCATTTGACTTATGTCTTTCTATCCCTTTAGTGCCTATAATAATACCTGTTGAAGACCAGGAGTTTAATAAGTATTTGTTGAATAACTCTTGACCAGGGTGTAGGGGCCACAGCTGGTGGAATGTCAACTGGGTGCGTCCACTATGGAAATCAGTATGGAAATCCTCACATCCTAGAAATAGAACTACTATATGTTGTAGTTCTATTTCTACAGAACTACAGAAGCAGCTATGATACTTCTGAATCTAAGTCTGACAGAGACCTGTACACAATTTTTCTATGGCACTATTCACCACAGACAAGATATGGAATTAACATTGGTCCAATAGGCTGATGAATGGATATACATATATTTGTGTTGTGTGTTTTAGTTTTATTCAGAACATAGTGTTAAAGTAAGTCAGACATGAAAAGACAAATAGCACATGTTTTCTTCTACATATGAAATCTAAAGTTTGAAAGTAAAAACCACATAAAAGTAGAAGAGAGACTATTTGTGGGGAGGGCAGGAGGCAGCAGTAGCTAGAGAAGAGGAGAAGAACAGAGATGGGATGAACATTAGTCAAGTATATGATATTCTTGTCTGAAGATGTCATGAGGAAATTTATAATTTTGCATGTTAAGTTAAAAACACAAGGCCCCAAATAAATCTGTATAATGAATAATGCCTATTATCAATATATACATATTATGAAACCCAGAGTTTGTCCTTTGATTTATCAGCAGGAGTCTGCCTAAAAAAGTACCCAACTGTTAAATCAATTTCATTTGCGACTTTGTGATCTACAGCAGTCATACCGACGAGATTCCATCCTCCCATTTGCTTCCACCTAACTCGGAGTGGAGAAAGCACTGCAAAACTTTACTGCTACTTAATTTCAGTGCCTTACAGGATGAAATCTGTAATGCGTTCTGATGAATCAACTCGAGGGGCTCTTGGAGCATTCCCGGAGGGCCCCATTTGCACTCAGCAAGTGCAAACCCAGGACCTGGCCCAATTCTCTCCCCGTTTATTATACTGCGGTACCTTTAACTCGACACACAAGGTGCAGCTAAAGGAGGACAGAGCAGTGACATCCAGTGCAGCCATTGTGAACGGTGCTGTCCCAAGATGCCACTGCTGCTTGTCGTTTGTTTGTTTGTTTTAACAGAAGGTTCAGGGAATTATATAAGGAGAGGAAACTCGTTACAATTTCAGCCTTTTCCAATAATTTTTGAGTTCTAAGAAGCCGGGCTATGAAAAAATTCACTCTAGGGACTGAAAGAAAGGGCAGAAAGAAATTGAAGCTGTGTTAAATGTTATATTTAGTAAACTAAGCTGCTTCATAAATATTTAATCGCTGGAAGCACAGCCAATACTAGCAATATCATTTCATCTAGGACCCGCGATGAAACTGAAATTCATTCCCAAAGCTGATATTCCGGTTCTTCTTCAATTAATCCACACAACTCCTTTGTGTACCTAATCAAATCACCGAAGTCTCAAATTAAATGTTCCATTCAGGAGCATTTCTAATCTCAGGGCACCAGTCCTTCTGAATTCTGCAAGTGGAGCAGAGGCTCTCGCTCTAACACCAAGCCTTTCTCTCTCTCTAAGGCCCCCAGTTTGCACCGTCCTGCAAGCGTTACTGTCCATTCCATCTTGAACAGTTCAAGTTTTTGCAGCAAATCAAAGCATTTCCAGAATCCTCTTAAAGATATAGACACCTGTTTTCCCCGAAGCGATAAGAAACAGAGCAAAGAAACAAACACAGCCACAAAACAGCAACCACCACCACCACCATAACAACCTAACACCTAACAACCCCCACCCCGTGTGCTGCCATCACCACCACCACCACCATAACAACCTAACACCATGACAACCCCCACCCCGTGTGCTGCCACCACCACCACCACCACCATAACAACCTAACACCATGACAACCCCCACCCCGTGTGCTGCCATCACCACCATAACAACCTAACACCATATCAACCCCCACCCCGTGTGCTGCCATCACCGCCACCACTAAATATAAAGTTATCTCCGTTCCTTGCAGTGAGGCAGAGGAGAAGGACTCTGTTCTGAGAGGGCAGAGTGAGGAGGACTAAGCTCTCTCTCATAGCATGCAAACTGGCTCAAGTCAGGCCAGTGACTCACTGAAAATCATCTACTATGTTTCTTTCCAGTCTTTGTCACTGTCAAGCTGTGCACACGAAGACTTACTCTCTTTGCATTATGAAATTTGAGATTGGCTAAAATGTAGAGTTAGCAAAAAGAGCAGAAGTTGCACTGACCTCACCAAGTAGGATTGGACCCATTTGTTAGTGCTTTAGTGCTCTCATTTTCTCATCTATAGCAAGGAGATGAGGCTGTCTCACCCTAGTGAAGTTTTGGAAATGAATAGGCCACTAAACGATCTCCACTTAGTGTCTGGCCTTGGTTACTTTGGGTAATAACTGTGTCTATGAAAGCACTGTGAGCCAGGCTATTTCTACTGCACACTTTCTTGTTCTCAGGGCTTTCTTTGATTTTCCTGGTTGCCCTTATAAAGGTTCTACAGTGCAGAATGTCTTACTCTCAGAACACAAAATTTAAAGGAGACATAGGCAGCATTGTGATTGGGTGAACAGACATCTGATTGCGAACATTGAATAGAATAGCTGATATTTATTATTTAGCCAGAACTTATTTTGGATGTGCTAAATACTGTGTAAAGTGCCTAGAAGAAAAAACAACAAAGAAATGAAATGAACATAATTTTTCATTGTTTCGGTTGCATTTGGATTCAACTATATTAAGAGAGTGAGCAAATGTGCCATAACTTAATCAAATCAGGGTTTTTCTTATGTAACAAGTAGGCTGGGGTGGCAGTTCCCAGCTAGGATGGTGTCTCCAAAATGTTTTCAGAAACTCAGGTCCTCCAGCCTTTCCCTCAGCTTCCTCTGACTTCTCGCTTTTCCCCTCATGCGTATGGATTCACAGTGAAAGATGGTAACTTCATCAATCTACTGACCAGGTATGGCAAAAGTGTAAAGTTCCTTGATCCGTGAGTCTTTCTGAGACATCACCATAAAATGCTTTCCTGTAAGCTTTGTTCAAATGTATGTATATGTAAGCCTATGCAAGTTTGCCACTTGTTACATGCTACTGGAATAAAACATAGAAACCTGGTACATTCTACTCCACATCAGGTAACTACTATATATACAGATGGAGGAAAGAAAGAGTATAGAATTAATAACAGTAGGTTGGACTTGAGAGAGAGAGAGAGAGTGAGTGAGTGAGTGAGTGAGTGAGAGAGAGAGAGAGAGACAGACAGAGAGAGAGTCTTGGTAGATTTTACATTAAAGCACCATAAGAACTAAGCTCTAAAAGATGAGACATAGTGAGAAAAAAAATGTATCCTAGGTTGAATAAACTGATACTCAATAAATAATAAAGCCAAGTTACTAAGACATGGTCATGTTTCATCTGGCAATATATACATATATGGATGGATTCCATAGAATTTTATTTTCTTTTATTTTCAGGGGTATGGACGCCTTTTTATTCACAAGATCAAGCACAAGCATATCCTGGCTAAAAATTATTTTTCACAGATTCCAATGCTTGCTTCACTTATGCTTCAAGATGAGGAAGTAGATGATATCAGAAGTAAATACTGCACAGATAAGCCACCTAAAATTATAGAACCCCATGGGACTCGACCTTAGGAGGTTCAGGAATACCAACCTGATGATGAGCATTTTTGTTCTCTACTAAGAGATTAATACAGAGGTCATGTAATATGGGAACCACTTTTATATTTCCATTTGTATTTGTTTTATTCACAGTATTTTAAGCTATATGACTAGAAAAAAATCTGTATACATGAACCATTGTTGGGTGATTAGTATTCAACAGCCAAACAAAACCTTGGCTTAAGTTTCAATGAAAATAGTTCATTTAACATATATTTTATGAGTGTAATTATTCTCTATACATACCTGTATTTTGATATAAGTGTATTTGGAATTTTTTACTTTTATTGTCTATTTTTACCTTTTAATTGCATAATCCAAGAAAAGAAAATGTAACAAACAAAAAATCTGCATTACATGCCATGAAACAAGGCAAACAGTGGAAATGTTATTTATGGAGGAGACTTCCTGTGGGGCAATGTTGAAGTTCTGTAAAAAGTATGAACTTGATCAAATCAACTGTCAGCCTACTTCTCAATAAACTCAACAATAACCTTGGCTCTATATCTGTCTGGAATATGTGATAAGTGCTGATGCATCCAGAGATGGCACACCCCAAATAGCATGATTCAAAAAGAGTTTATTTGCAAAAGGACCTGTTCTAAGACATACATGATGCCTGGAAACAGAAGGAACATTACTGGAGTCCAGGGCCAGATACAGACATACTGAATCTACCCCACAGTCCCCAGGGTACTTGGGAAGGGAGAAGCCAGGGAACCCAGACAGAGTGGAAAGGAGATAAGTAGATCACTGAGAGGATCAACCAACCCAAGATGATCTCAAGAGTCAGAAAATAAACCATCAATTTCACACGTCTGCTTTGTTCCAGTGGCCTTCTCTAATGGGAAAAATCTCAAAAGGAAAGAAACAGAGACTCAGAGTTCACATGGTTTTAGAGTAAAGGACAGGGTAGGTAGTGGGTAACCAGATACGGAGGACTAACTGGAAAACATTGGGGAAGAAAACAACCGAAAGTGGGGATAGAATCAGATAGTGATATTTCACTTACATCACAGAATCATAAAAAACATGTATTTTATTCTAATCTTTTGTAAATTATGTTGTCCTTTCAAGTTTAGCGATTAATAAATTCATTATAAATATTTGTTCCACATAAACATTTGATATTTTAGCACCTATATCTAGCATATCTACAATTTTCCTTACATAGCAGGAACATGGTACTTGTCATTAAGGGACCAAACATTTAGAAGAAAATTCTATAGTACTGTTTCCTTGTTGATTAATAGTCCAGACAGCTTGAGAACTTTCATAGCAAGAACATTCCAGTTAAGACTAGAATAGAACTAGACTGGTCTTTGATATAATGGGAACAATTTATCATGGACACATGCAGGTTTACACAGGAATGGGAATAACCAGATTTTTGCAACATAGTTCAAGAGAATTTGTCATCTCTGAGAAGAGCTGAGAAGGCGGTGAGAGAGAAATAAATAGGATTGAGTGAAGGATTTTATGGGCCCTCTTGACTCAGACAAGAAGAACAGAGAGAAGAAATAGGCGTCCAAAGCCTGATAACTAGAATTTAGGATATTTATTTCCCCTGGTCATTCTGTTTCTTTCTTGGTATGTTGGTAGTGGCTGTGTTTCTCTAAGATCATGGCTTTGATTGGGTCTACCTCCAGCCTGGTGCAACTCTCTAATTTCCTTCCTGCTTTTCCATCTTTCACTTGAAAGTCTGTTTCCATTTTTGTAAGAAACTTTAGGATGTTTTGCTTCTGTTGATTTTCTTAGTGTCCTCCCTTTTCAGACAATTCTTTTATTAAATGCTTCTCAAATCAAACAGTTTGAATATGTGTATTAGTTACTTTTCTGTTGCTGCAATAAAATAATGGATTCAAAGTAAGCTAGGGAAGAAAGAGATATTTTGGTTTCCAGTTCTAGGGGGGTTCAGTTGATCACAGTGGGGACACCCTGGCAGCAAGAGTCTGAAGCCAGCCTAGTAGTCAAGAAGCTAGATGGTCTCATTTCATTCCCACATAGAAACCAGAGAAAGAAAGTAGGACGTGAGGCCAGGCTATAAAACTTCAAAGTGCTCCCAGTGATACCACCTCTAGCAAGGTTCTTCCTCTTAAAGGTCCTGGAACTTTCTCAAACAAAGCCAGCAGCTGGGAACCAAATGTGGAAACATGAGTCTACCGGGGACATTTGTATTCAAACCACAACTGTGTACCAATGTTCTTTCTGGGCACTGACCACAGCAATCATTGAGCCCTATGAGTAGTCTCAAGAAGTTAAACTGAAAATGTAGTCATAAGCTTGGATTGTTCATGTGTTTGACTTCCTGTCTTGGGAGGAACAGGACAAAGGTAATACACAGCATAGGGTAATGTTAACAATTGTTTAGACTATCACCAGCTGGCATAGTATGAAGTGTGGATGAGGAATAAACAGAGATACAAGAGATGAAGCAATTAGTAACTATGTTAGTTAACTTCCCATCATTGTGACAAAATACTTCAGAAAACACATCATATCAGGAGATATGTATTTGGAATCATGTTTTCAGAAGTGTCATCACATTTGGTTGACACTGTTACTATAGGCCTGTAGAGAGGAGAACATCATGGAGAAGAAAATGCATTATTGATGTTGCTGCTTACCTTAGTCCAGCATGCATGTGTGTGTGTGTGTGTGTGTGTGTGTGTGTGTGAGAGAGAGAGAGAGAGAGAGAGAGAGAGAGAGAGAGAGAGAGAGACAGACAGACAGACAGACAGACAGACAGACAACTATTTTCTCCAGCCAGGTCCCACTTCCTAGATTCCTGCTGATAGTGCCATCACAAGGTGACTTCACCAATGGATCACTGCCCTGATTGTTAGAGCACACACAATTCAGTCACTACCCATATGTCTATCAACTGGTTGCAAAGGCATTTCAATTAAACCATATTAGTTACTTTGATGACAAAGACTTGCATAGCATGAGTATCCTTTATGTTAGAGAAGAATCATAGGAAAATGATAACTTGGATGTGTTTAATGGCCAGATTAATGCCTTGTCAAAAATTTAGAAGGCAGCTATGGAGAAATTCCCTATCTTCTGTCTATATAGGAAAGATGTGACTAAAGTTGAAACCTGCAGTGTTACTGTAAAATTTACAAGGCAGTACGTTAATTAAATGAATACATATGTTAGAGCTGATACTAAGATTAGGATCTTGGGTAGGAAAATCAGCATGTGATCTGTTATGAATTAGCCTGTACACTAGAGGAGTTGCAGAATCATGACATTTTTTTAAAAATCAAGTATGAGAAGAGTATGCATAAGAGTACATTTTATAAGGATTTCATAACTGTAAAATATAAAGATAAATAAAGCTCAAGCTATGTTCTTGTCTAGTATTCAGGATTTGATGTGCTGTATTGAGGCTGTGAACATTCCCAGATATATTTAACTGAATCTTATACTAAATATGGCCTCTACCAATGATGATGTGTGAATTGGAATGGCTCTATATGTGTGTCTTAGGGTTTCTATGGCTGTAAAGAGACATCATGACCACCACAGCAATTCACAAAGGACAACATTTAATTGGAGTGGCTTACGTTTTTAGAGGTTTAGTTCATAATCATCATGTTGGGAAGCAAGGCAGCTAGGACTATGGTGGCATGCAGGCAGACAAGGTGTTGGAGCAGAGAGTCCTACATCTTGATCCCAAGGCAACAGGAAGTGAATTGAGATCCTGGGTGTGGCTTGAGCATATGAGACATCAAAGCCCACCCCCACAGTGACACACTTCCTCCAACAAAGCCACCCCTCCTAATAGTGCCACTCCCTGTGAGCATGTGCAGGCCAATTTCAAATCACCACAATGTATAAACTTTAGATACTGCCTCAAATGGTTTCTTAAGACAATTTACACTCAAGGTACAGAGGCTGGGAGATGGCAAGCTTGATGTCAGTGTGGGTTATATAACAAGTTCCAATGTAGGTGGGCTTCATAATGAATCCTTGTCAAGAAAAAAGAAAGGAAGAAAGAGGGAAGGGAAGAAAGAGGGAAGGGAAGAAGAGGGGTTTGGTTAGTAGATCTTTAGCATCATAGAAAATCTCTGGGATTGCTGGTCCCTATATTTTTGAGGTGATAATAGGAAGATAATCTGATAATCTAGTTTGATGGGGGATGCTTTATGCTAGAATACAGGGAGTTTAAACTTAATGTAAGAGTCTTAGGAGCTATGAGAAACCTGAAGCATAAAAGTAAAAAAAAAAAGCAAATAAATACAAAGCCAGTATTGATGAAAGTTATATAGAAACTAGAGCCTTGAACTCTTGTGAGAATGCAAAATGGCTCAACTTTTACAAAAAATAATATGAAACATCCTCAGAAACTGGAAGTAGCCAAGTATGGTGGTTCACATCTGCAATTCCAACAATCAGTCTGAAGCCAAAGGGATTACAATGAGTTTGAGGTCAGCCTGGGCTGCTCAGTGAGTTCCAGCACAGTCTAGACTATAGAGTAAGGCATTTTCTCAGAAATTGAGAGAAGATTGACCCAGTCATCCTATTTCTGGATAATTAGGATCTCAAAGAAATATTGGTTCTTCCCAATTCAGCGAAACACTGTTTACAATAGTTAAAATTAGGGAACAATTTCAGTGGACAATTACTCAGCCTTTAAAAATGTTCTACAATGTCCAACTATATTAATGAAACTCGATGACATTTTGTTAAGTGAAAAAAGTCATTCATAAAAGACAAAAAATATGCAATTCCAACTATATGAGGTATCTAAAATAACTACATTCAAGCAAATTACAGAACTGCTCTTGTCATGGGCTGGAGGAGGGAGTGGAAAACTAAATCTGGTAATCAATGAGAATAGAACTTCATTGATGAAAGATAAGTTATTTCTAGATATCAGCTATACTACATTGACCCTATAATTATCAATGTGATATTATATAGCTAAAATTACATTAAGATCTAATTACCAAAATAAAATGAAAAGAGAGGCCCCAGAGGCAGAGTGATTTGGCTTCATTGAGACTTGTAACAATGACAATGGATTACTTATAAGACTGATAATCAGAGCCACACAAATTAAATGAGTAGCTGTATTGGTTTCCCAGGGATATCATAGTAAATTGACATGTATTTGGCAGCTTAAAACAACAGAAACATTTTTTTTTTTTTTT